GGGCGGCCTCTGCCCGTAGCGCAAGCAGGGTCCTTTCCTCGCGGCCACACCTCCAATGCCTCCGCCCAGCTCTTCAGGCCGCTGCACCCACCACGCGTCCTCATCCAGGGCGTGGGTGGGGCTGGTGTCACTGGCCGTGGCGCACCCCACTAGGGAAGGCCTGGACCGTGAAAGGAGCTCCTTCTGCTAACAGCTGGCCCACCTTCCTGCCCGCGCGCGCCCCCGGCAGTGCCCTTCCGGGCTTGTCACAGGAATCATCACAGCCGCTCAGCGATGCGTTATCACCGCCATCTTACCTGAAGCTGAGGCTCCCGGCCGGTGAAGGCAGAGGAGCCTGAACCGGGCGCTGCTCGCTGAGCCCTCGCCCTTGCCTGGGGGCCAGGGCCCTGGGCACCGGGCCTGGGCACCGGGTTCTGAGGCGGAAGCTATGTGCAGCCGGCCCCCCATGCTCTCCTTAGTGTGGCTCTGGGCAGGGGACCGGGGGGCTCTGGGCTTCAAGTGACCGCCCCCTGCCAGAGGCTGGCCTTGGGGCTCCGGCCACCCCCGTGCCCAGACATGGGCTAGATCAAAGGCCACCCTCGGGGCGGCCTGAACCCTGCTGTAGCCTGGCATGTGGGATGCCCGAGGCCTGGCTGAAGGTCCCACCCCAAGCCAGCTCCCTCCATTGTGGCCTCAGAGACCTGCGTCTCCCCGGTGGCGGTGACAGGGTACAGGCTCTAGCACCATTTGTCTCGGTTTCTTCATCTGTAAAACGGGAGAATCATATCAAAGGCTGCTGTGAAGACAAACAGGCCCATTTCCCAAATAGCACGAGGCTTACCATTTAGTAGAGCCAGCGGGGCCTTCCTGTCTCCCAGCATTTTCAGGGCTGAGCTGTGCCCACCTGCACTAACGCTTCCATCTTGAGTCCACGTGTGAGTGGTGCCTGGCCTCAGCTGCCTGATGGTTTAGGAGTCTGAGTTTATCACTACAATATTTTGTTTAAAAAAGTTCCCTTAAAATTAAAAAGAAAACTTCTCTTATTTGAGTTGCAGGAAGGCCATAGGGCTTGGGTTTGTACCTACAGGGAAGCCCACTCTCAGGCCGTCCGCTCGCCAACCAGGAAGCGCCCTTCCTCCCTCTGAGGGCACGTGGGCCCACTGGCTGCTGGAGGCTCCCGCAGCCCCGCCCCAGCTGGTGGGACAGGGAGCAGGGGGGCCAAGCACCGGCAGAGGGCATGCCAGGCCCGCCGTCTCCAGGCGGACGGGCGCCCCACCTCCTGGGAGCTGGGAGAACTGCAGGGCAGAGCGGGTCTGAGGTGACACAATCTTACACAAATGGAAACGCTAGTCTGAGCTTTAAACCTCAGGAATCTTCCAGAACTAGAGAAGAGCCACGTTCTGTCATTCACAGGCTGTGGCTGGACCAAAGTCAAGAGCTGGTTCTGGGTCCTAAGTAAATAACTGCGAACTTGTTCCTTTAGGCCTTGGTTTCATGCCCTGAGAAACGGGGGCAGGGGTGGGGGTGGGACGTGCACACGTGTTGAGGGAGCACCCAAGGAGCATGACCGCATCAGTACCAGGGCCGGCACCATGCTGGACCCCAGGGGACTCACCCTCCCCGCCCTGTGGAGCATCTGGGCCAGGCAGCCAGCTGGTCCTTCCGGCACCTTCCCCCTCTGCAGAGGGCTCCCTCCGCCCCGCGCCCGCCAGCTCTGTGGCACTCACCCTGCTGAGGCCGGGTCATGCTTCTTCCAGTGCAAGAACTCCGGGGACCAGGAGCTGCGGGACAGCTCCCAGCCCTGGACCGAATCCTCTGGAGCACGCGCGTCTCCCACCCCTGAGCAGGGCCCTGCCAGCCTTTTGAAAACATTCAGATGACCGGCCTGAGTAGGCGGTTCATCCCTGGCCCCGCCTGCTCCTTCCTTCTCTCCCCAAGATCCTGGTAGCAGGCGCTCACTGCTCCGTAGTCAGCGCACCAGTGAGTCTGCTTCCCGGAGGAGAGGGTCTCTCCCTGGGGGTCACTCGGCCTTGGTAGGTGGCGGCTGGTGGGAGTCCGAGCCTGGGCTGCCGCCCTCGCCTGCCACTGACAAGCACTCCAGACTCAGTTTTCTCAGTCAGAGGGACTAGACTCAAGGATGTGGGAAGGGAGAAGGGATCGAACACGAAAGTGCTCTGTACAGAGTTACGCCTGTAGAGACAACAGTCTTGTATTTTTCTTTCAACTAGTGAAGCCCTAAGAGTCGCCCGCTAACCCCACTCTGAGACACTCCTGGGGCGTTAGGTGCTGTAGCGGGAGTGGCCTGTCCACATCATTACTAAGCTGAGGAAGGCAGGTCGCGGAGTTTGATTCCCATCCGAGGGAGTGAGTCACTGAGCACTGTCCTCCTGCCCCCAGGCTCCCCCGTGGCCTTCTATGCCGGCTTTTCAGGAGGGACGGCTGCCCCGCAGACAGTGAAGTTCGACGCTGCTCACGTCAACGTTGGCAGCAGCTACTTCGCTGAAGATGGCTACTTCCGAGCCCCTGAGCGCGGGGTCTACCTCTTTGCAGTGAGCATTGAATTTGGCCCGGGGCCAGGCGCTGGGCAGCTGGTATTTGGAGGTCACCATCGGACCCCCATCGGCGCCGCTGAGGAGCAGCGGGGAGGAGGCGCGGCCACGGCCTTCGCCATGGCTGAGCTGCAGAAGGGCGAGCGCGTGTGGGTGGAGGTGACCCAGGGTTCGGTGCGGCAGACAAGCCCCCCAGGCACCGCCTTCGGGGGCTTCCTGCTGTTCAGGACCTGAGCCCCTGGCACAGCCGACCCTGCGCCGGGATGTGCCCAGCTCTCCTTGCCCTGGGCTCTGGCCAGGTGGCCGGGAGACCCTCCAGGTTAGCCTAGCTCTTCCCTGGAAACCCGCAAAGACAATGGCCTCCCTCTGGATGCTGCTCCCTGGGCCGGCCCGGGCTGGGCGGGAAGCTGGGCCTGGTGGGCCTTCCATCCGAGGCAGCATGGCTCGATTCCAGCTCTTGGCTGCCCGTCTTCTCCAGTGTCTGCTGTTTTGCTCCTGTGGTTGAAAACCTCTGTACAACACTAACCTTTCTCTGGCTTCCTCATGTCTAGTCCCTGCTAGAAAAGCATTCTTTCCCAGAGAGAATTTGGGAACTAGAATAGAGGTGGCATTTTGGACAATCCGGGAAACCAGGCTCCAGTCACTGCCGGCAGGAGAAGACCAGCTGGTTAGGTCTGTCAGTCAGAAATGAAAACTGGCCGAGTATTAGGCGAAGGAAACACAATTAGTATCTTTTCCGTAGTCTCAGTCCTTCCTCGGATGTACCTGTAACTTTAACTTCACCCCCTTTTCTCCTGCCGCACACGGGACAAAGGCCACGTGCGAACTGCAAGCTAAAATGTGTGCAGCTTTCACCCTTTCATGCTCTCTCACGCCTGACCACCCTCATTCTGATTAGCATCTCCATCAGGAACGGAGCTGAGGGATGAGGAGGGAAGACGACTAAAAGTCTCCCTCAATTTCATCATTGGAATCAAGCAGCAAGCTCTGCCCGGTGAACTGATGGTGGGAAGGATGTGGCGGGTGGAAATGTGTGGCAAAATAAAACTGTTTGCGATAAGTGTGACTCCCATTACTCTAGGACACACCTTACTCCAGGTTCAGTTAATTCTGCCTAAAACACACAGAGGCCTCCACAGTGAGCACTGACATTATTGGATCACAGTCCAGCAGAGTTAGTTATTCTTGCAATAATAACATATGGTTTTTAAAAAATTGCATATTCTAGAGCAGCGGTTCTCAACCTGTGGGTCACGACCCCTTTGGGGGTCGAACAACCCTTTCACAGGGGTCGCCTAAGACCATCGGAAAACACATACATAATTACATATTGTTTTTGTGATGAATCACTATCCTTTATGTTCAATTTGTAACAATGAAAATACATCCTGCATATCAGATATTTACATTACGATTCATAACAGTAGCAAAATTACAGTTATGAAGTAGCAACGAAAATAATTTTATGGTTGGGGGTCACCACAACATGAGGAACTGTATTAAAGGGTCGCAGCATTAGGAAGGTTGAGAACCACTGTTCTAGAGCAAACGGACTTGAGAAAGCAGTCGTCTAGTTGTCGGGAAGTGTTTCGTTTTGGTAGTAGGTGTTTAGTATTGGTTGGCTATATTCTTCTCCGTAAGGAAATCAACCGGGCTGGGGAATGAGGACGGAGAGGGGCTGGTGTCCAGGGTCCCTAGGTCCCAGCCCGTGCTTCCTAGGGCCATCACTCCAGACTCCCTCCGAGTGTATTTACCCCTGAGGTGGGCGTGCCCACGTGTAAGCCATCAGTGCTAAGGGGAGCCGAGTGCAGGCCACTCTGCCACTGATGGTTTGATGTGGGCCAAAGCACAATCTTTCTTGAACTTTTTCCATGCGTAGTATGAACTGATCCGCCTACTGGATCTGGCTCAGCCCTCGCTGCCTGCTCTTCCCTCTGGCCAGGGCCTCGCACCCAGTGCAGTCTTCCTTGCCAAGACCACTCCTGAGCAAAGGCTGGTGTGTGGGCCGCGCCTGACAGACGGGAGGCAGTGCCAGGGCACCCTGGCTGCTGGGAGACCAGCGGGCCTTCTCGCCGCTCGCTGTTGCTATCGGTCAGTCTGTGCCAACGACTAAGTGGAACTGTATTGTGCTGAGTAACAGGGAGGGAGTTGATATCCTCCATAAAGGGCACGTGTCCTCCAGAGCAAGGTTACAAATCGGAGTGCTACCTGGCAAGCACTGCCCACAGCTTGGATGAGTCACCCGGCAAGATTCTGGGGAATCTAGAGAAACGATGGGTCTTTTAGGTGGGATGCTTCCCATGCAAATCTCACCCAGCCTCACATCACGCTGAGCGCCCATCTTATGTTTTACACTCGTGTAAGCAGGACTCCAGCTCAGCACGGACTCTAAAGTTTACTTGATAGACTGCTCGTCTGTGCTAGGGATCCGAGTCTCTGGGTGGAGACTCTCAGAGCCTTCAGGTAGACCTGCTACCCAGGCCAGCATTCAAACAGCCTCCCTCACAGCATCCTGAGCAACAGCTCACTGGGCCCAGTGCCCAGTGGTATCAGACCTCCCCGACCTGCCGGAAAACATTCAAAAATACCACTGAGAAGCAAGAAGAGTAAGCAGACCGGGAAATCGTAGTAATCCCCAAAACAACAGGAAGGAGAAAGGATCAAGTATAAAATGAAATAGCAATAAGCAATCATAACCCCACACATGTGAGACTGTTGGAGAAATGGGAGTGATTTCAGCGGAGTTGCAACTCAAACTCAGCCGCCATCCCTGCCTGTGCTGAGCAGGGCGGCAGTGGCCTCCGTGAGGTCAGTGCTGAGCCCCACACTCTCCAGTGGGTCAGTAGGCAGGAAGCCCCCGCCCTGGTGACCTGAGACCGTAGGGAGTCAATCAGACATCTCCATGTCCACAACATGTCCAAATAAGGCCCGACATTTACTTCTATTTCACAAACACCACGCAGGGGATAGAATGGTCTAGAACAGCCATGGGCAAACTACGGCCCTCGAGCCGGATCCACCCGTTTGAAATGAATAAAACAAAACAAAACAAAAAAGACCGTACCCTTTTATGTAATGATGTTTACTTTGAATTTATATTAGTTCACACAAACACTCCATCCATGCTTTTGTTCCGGCCCTCCGGTCCAGTTTAAGAACCCACTGTGGCCCTCGAGTCAAAAAGTTTGCCCACCCCTGCTCTAGAAGCATTGTTTCTTAAAGCTCTCCTCCTCTCCGAGATGCTCCTCTGTAGTCCCCTGTAGTCCATGTTTATCTTGAAAACAAAACACCCCTGAGCACCATCCCCCACCCGCTTCTGTCAAGACACTCCCCCAAACCTGGTTTGACAGAGACAACCCTCTTGGGGGAGCGGGGAGTGCGGAAGTAAAGGGAGTGGGGCAGCCTGGTGCCCTCCAGTCGGCAAAGAGGAGGAAAGGGTTGCTGATATTTGCTCCAACAAACAGTGATTATCCTATTCCTCCCTGAAAAAATAACGAGTCCAAGGAATGTGGAACCAAGGTGAGCAGGGACCCACTAACTCTGTGATAGCCCGAGTGCCAAGCAAACACCTGTGGAAAATTAGGATCAGGAACAAGGCCCAAAACTCACCAAGTTTTTGGAACATATAAATCTTTAGAAACAAGAGAGAAAATTGTAAAGATAAATCTTATTTGCCACCTAGATTCTGGTCTCCAAATATCTCCCTTAAAGGGAACCCGAATGCCTTAGACAGGGGGCTGACTGGAGCAAGAAAAATAGCAGCTGAGCCTAGAACATCATCATGTGCCAAAAAGGCCGGCGTGGCTCAGTGGGTGAGTGTCATCCATGAACCAGGAGGTTACAGTTAAACTCCCGGTCAGGGCACATGCCCAAGTTTCGGGCTCGATCCCCAGTAAGGGACATGCAGGAGGCAGCCCATTGATGTTTCTCATCAATGTTTCTAACTCTATTCCTCTCACTTCCTCTTTGAAATCAGTAAAAACAAAAAATAATGGACACATGTCAAAGAGCTCAGGAGCCAGTGTGATGAACTCCCAATGGCCAAGTCTGGGTCAATTTGAACATCAAAGCCAATAATGACCTAGCAACTCTATATGACCCATGAATAGAATAAAAACTGATGAGTCCCATGCTGGTGGGATGTCCTCAGAAACACACAAACATCATGTCCACCCCTCATTGGCCTTTACTCCAGAGAATGTCAGTATCACAAAAGTCAAGAGCTGGACAACTGGTTCAGACTGAAGGGGAGTAAGGAGATATGACAACTAAATGCAAGATCCTAGCCAGACTGTGGGACTGGAAAATGTGCACTCATGGCTTTTATGAAAACACCTGGCAAAACTTGAGTAGGTCAGCAGATTATGGTATTACAGGTAAGTGTCATGGTATCGATGTTAACTTTCCTGCTTTTGATAATTGGTTGTATAACAGAATATCCCTGAAGTACTTAGGGATAGAGGCATGAGCTCTGCAATGTACTCCAAGTAGTTGAGAAAAAAAGCATGTGACCACAAACTCCAGGAGCCTTTGTACTTCCTGTACATATACATACAAAATGAGCAGTTGTCGCACAAATGTAAGTTTATGAATCTGGGTGAAGGGTAAATGGCATTTTTAAAACTACTTTCCAACTTTTCTGGAAGTTTGAAATTATTTCAAAATAGTTAAAATTCGATTGTTTAAAAAATACACACACCTCAGTAGATGGGTGAACAGCAGGTAGGATAGAACATAAGAGGGACATGCTAGGAAATTTGGAAGAAACATCCGGGAGACCTAGTATTTGTCTAATGGTAGTTCCAGAAGAAGGAAAGTAAAAGGAGGGAGGAAACAAACAATGGAAGAAAAGTTTCTAGATCCAAGAAAAGGTGAAAAAGAGCCTAATTAGTACTAGCAGAATGGAAATATGTAGACATGCAAGTTTAAATTTCAAAAAGGAAAATTCTGCTTCGTGAACGAGAAACTAAGTTACACACCAAGCACTGCACCGAACACACCCATTCTCACTGGCCATGCGGTGCCGGGAGAGCGGGGGGCAGTGCCCACAGCGTTGGATTCTAGCTCCAGCCAAAACGCTAGCCCTGGAGGACCGCATCGAATGATAAAAACTGCTTTTTAAGTGTTTGAAGTGCCTCCCACAAGTGTACCACAGCCTTTCAATTCTTTCTATAATGTTTCAGTGTAGTGAACAGAGAAAAGAGAACAAATGGCCTCAACTGATTCAAAATTGGTTTTATAAAATGACTTCCCTCTAAAAAAAAATCCAAAAAACTAGTTTGAAAATATTTTCAATATCAGCATTTTATAGACTTTTTACAAAATGTATTTTTATTGATTTCAGAGAGGGAGAGGGATAGAAACACCAATGATGAGAATCACTGTAATCAGCTGCCTCCTGCACGCTCCCCACTGGGGATTGAGCCTGCAACCTGAGCATGTGCCCTTGACCGGGATTGATCCCAGGACTCTTCAGTCTGCAGGCTGACGCTCTATTCACGGAGCCAAACCAACTAGGGCTTGACTTTGAAATATTGCTAACATTTCAGGTTCCCTGTATGCAGTTTAGGATCTGGGTGGTGAGGTGGCTGGGAGCCCTGGGGCATCTGGTGGCCCTGAAGGTCCCTTCAGGGTGCATGGGACACTCAGAGTGATCGGACAAAGATCAGGAAGAGAAGGTTCAAAGGAGGGGTAGGTAGGTCACACATATTCCATCTAAACATGAGAATGACAGTCCCTAACTGAAAGGATTCACCTTTTTTCCCTGCTCTCTGCTTCCACTGAGATACTGTGCACAGCCCTGTCTGTGCACTTGAATAAGTTTCCTCGCCCCGACTCCCAGCCTCAGGGCAACCTGCCTATTTCTGCTCACACCCTGAGCTCCCGGGATTGAAGTCCTCATGATCAGAACAGTGCCCATGCCATTGGGTGGTCTCTAGGCTGTGCTCCCAGAGCCATGTGCAGAGTCCACACCTCTCCCAGTGCCAGGAGGCAGTCACAGGACCTGGGACCAGCCATGCTCAGCTGGAAGGAAGCAGCCAGATGGTGCTCTCCAGGGACAGCAGGACTGTCAATGAGAAATCCTCCAGGCACAATCTTTTAAAAGTTCTTATCTACTAGGCCCATTTTTAGAAAGGTAACCTAAGAAAATATACAAAGATTCCTGTTTAATGATGTTCAATGCATTCGTTGGTTATATTTTCTAAAACAATGGAAAGTAACCCAAATATTGAATGGGGAATTAAAAAAATATTCCATCTATTTGATGGAATATTGCATGGTCATTTTTTTAAAAAAAGTTATGCTTTCAATGGCACATAGTGACATACTATGATCTTAATATTGGAGAAAAGTATGCAGCAGAAAAACATTGGAAACATTCAAATGTAAATAGTGGTAACATCTGGCAATAGAATTTTGAATGATTTTATTTGCTTTTTTATTCTTTCCTATGTTTTCCAAAATTTCTGCAATAAGTACATATTTTTATAACTAGAAAAAATATTTTTAAAAGAAAAACCACCTTTATTGTAATAGGCTTATGGCTCTTCTCTCTACACAAAGGACGGAGGGTCTGGTTGTCTGGGCACTTACCTGCCCCTGTTCCCACCCAGCTTTCTGGTCGCTGAAGTGCACACCTCAGGGACATGTGTATGTTCACTAACTTACTTTTTATGAAAGCTCACCAGACATGCATTCTGATATACAATACAATCTGAGCAGAGCATCACAAAACACATCACTGAAGTATACTAAAATAAGGTTATTTACTTAAAAATGATACACTGGACGTAATCTCTTTATAGAACACAGCAATTAATGGTAAACTTAATAAGGCGCCTTTTAAAGCAGATGCTGACAAAATAAATGTAGTGTGTTACATACCAAAGATGAATCTGTATTTTTGGTGTTTTACAATTGCGTAATAAAACTGCTTAACTCTTCTTTCAATGTCTATGTACAACTTCCCTAATTAAGCTATAATGGTATTTTCATTTTATACAATATATACTGCATTTTAATCTTTAAATGGACAGGGACAACAGTCACTACAAGGGCTTAAATAATTCTACTGAAAGCATAGTACAGAGCACAATCTACAATCACACCCCAGTCAATCCTTTGCAAAAGCAGTGTTTACAGACTCTCCCTCTAGGACAATCTCACAGTGGCCGCACCAACGCTGCCAGATTTACTCTGTTTCTAGGAGCGTTGGTTGTTTGCAATTTTCACTGTGATTCTCTTAACAGCTCTGAGGCAAGAACTGGTATTTTAACATCTGACCTAAGCAAATAATAAATATCACCACTTTTAAACAGTACAAGAGCTGCAACAATGCTTTTAAAAAAATGCATATTTCTGCTGTTGAAATTATTTTAGATACTTAGAAACATTTCAAAACAACATGTATGAAGTGAAATATGACTTGAATTTATAAAATATTCCCTGGAATAAATTATTCAATATAAAAGTTGATTTTGTGCTAATTTAGAGATGCATAATTCTTTAAAAATTGTATTGCATTTTTGTTTTAAACATAAGCAAAAAATCTGGGGTAAAGGTGCTATTTTTTTTTTAGTAAATAATTTGGCACATTCTAGGAAAATAATTTTCAAAAATAAGTCACTTTCGAAGTTTAGAAATACATCTGGACATTGAAAAGGCAACATGAATTGTTGATTGAAATATTTTTTGTGAAACTATTTCCAGAAAATTAGATTCCAATTTTATATTTCAGAAACTTGTTCAACAAAAAAAGCACAGAGAAAGCTTAGAATAAAGACATTGAAATCAATCCTAATGTGCCTTTAATTCCAGAGATGTTTACAGTTATCTCTAGATAACTGAAGATTAACTTCTGTTATATTCTGGTACCTTTAGAGTTTTGTTTTTATTTTAATTATTTAAAAGGATGACAGACAGGAGCAACATGTTTTCAAAATGCTCAACTGTGAGACCAAATAATGGTTTCTAAGGTTTTTCAAATTATTAACTATGGTACTGTATCATACTTCCTTCCTCTTTAAATATTTCACTTACTGGATGAACTTAGAAATTTAAGAGTAAAAGTAAGAAGGAAAGAAGTTTCATGCAACATTTTTTAACTTTAAAATTTCAAATAAGTCATCATCTGCTTTTTATTTTTATTTTTTTTAAAATATATTTTATTGATTTTTTACTGAGAGGAAGGGAGAGGGATAGAGAGTCAGAAACATCGATGAGAGAGAGACATCGATCGGCTGCCTCCAGCACATCTCCTACTGGGGATGTGCCCGCAACCCAGGTACATGCCCTTGACTGGAATCGAACCTGGGACCTTTCAGTCCGCAGGCCGACGCTCCAACCACTGAGCCAAACCGGTTTCGGCTCATCTGCTTTTTGAAAAACATGTTATACTAGAAACAAGTCTCTAACATTAATTCTTGCTATCACTTTTAATAATCAATTTAATTTAAAAAATTAATTATGGGCTTGTACTTACACACTATCTGTAATGTTTTGCATTCACATACTATTTTAACATTTCTAAGAATAGTGTTTGCCTTTTCTTATGTATCTTCTTTACTATTTAGATGACAAATGATTTTGAAGATTTATAGTTTGTCAAATAAAAATAAATCAAGGTTAACCTTAGCTTAAGTAGATCCAAGCTAGTAAGTATTCTTAAATGCATGGCAATTTAGATAAAAATATCTATGAATCTCACTGTTAAGAGATGGGAAACATTCTGAAGGAGCAAGTTATTTGGTACTACCTACCAACATGTAAACTCACTCACCTTGACGAACATTTCAAAATTAAATTATCTTAGATGAAAATTATTAAATTCAGTCAAAACTATTAAAGCAAATTTTAAGTTTGTGAAATTTGATGTCAGTATATTAAAGTTTCACCCTTCAGGGCCAGTCAAATTTTTGGTAATGAATGGAATCATGCTCTGCTGTCCCCCCTCTAAAGTGTTTTGACCATGTTGTAATATAATCACATTTATTTTATGCTCTATTCAAAGAAAACTGTCTTACTTTCTGCGCCTAGAGGTTGTTTTATCAGACTAAGGCATTGATATTTAAAAGGCATTACAGAAGTATAAAACATTTAAGTGAATCCATCACATACGCAGCGTTTTCTGGAGTAGCAGCTACACGGTACAGACATCGCCACTGACCAGAGAGTGAACTCTGTGCCGGATTCTTCATTGTCTTCACAAGTTACAGAACAGAAATCATAAAACCAGAAATCTCAAATGATTCAAATGTCTAAAACAGCTGTTAATGAACTTGTATCATCTCTGAAATAGAAATTTCTAATGAGAGGGCCCTTTCACAATGGAAAAGTCGAGAGGATATTATCTTAATGAAAGTCTGTGCCTGAAATGAACAGACTGTTGGGATTAATATACTATTTTGAGTGTATTAGTTCTAAAATTCATATGTGGTTCTACTTTATAACATTTTCTTCTGATCTTTTATTTTTCCCCTTAAGGATGAGGTGTGAGGTACACGTGAGCTGGTTTCTACAACAGTATAGATGCATGTACATATAAAAAATATGGTTGTAAAAGGAGCATGTATTTTGCAAATAAAGCATATTACACACAAAATATAAATAACTTCCCTTTTAAAGATTACTGAGAATAAAGAATACAGAACCTGGTTATAGGCACTTAGCATCGCTATCAAACACAGTCATCAGTAACTCACTTCAACAAGAAGTGTTTCTCACAAGATCATGGCGTTGGAAGGTCCAACTTTGGACAGGATGCTTTCTATGGCAAAATAGTAATTACCAAAAAAAGGAAAGATGGTGGTAGGAGAAAAACAGTCGAAATTTTCAGGCACTTTAAGCTTTTTTGGCCTTTACATCAACTTTTATGTTAAAAATAAAGTTGGTGGAGAAGCTAGCTCACTTTGAAGGTAAATGGCTTTTATGTGATTGGCGAGTCTTGGTCAGATCATGCATTTTTAAAGCACAGAACCAACAGCCTCTAATATCTTCCTGGGTGGTCATAAGTCATATTTTCTTCTAATTCGATGGCAGCAGAGAAATCCTGGCAAGCATGTGTGTACACACACACCATTATCAAGGCCTGACAAACTATTTCTCATAAACTACGCAGCATCCTAAACAGATGATAATCCATAGGCTGTTTACAAAGGTCGAGTACAAATCAATGCGCTTCCTCAGGCAGGAGGCAAGGACACATTCCTCCGACTCTGCTGAATTCACTGATCTTCTTAGGCTTTCACAGAAAGCACCCTTGTACGAGCAGGTAATTCAACACCCGGAGTTTGACTGGAGACTCACCCATCAGGACTGAAGTCTCGATGTAGTTCATAAAAACCCGATTTAAAAAGGCATCAGAAACCACACTTAGAGTAAAGCTGTCCGTAGGTAAAGAGTGAAGTTCTGGAGTCCCCAGCTCATACTCTGCAGAGCACGGAAGGTGCCCAGGGCAGCCTGTGAGGGTAAGGGGAGGACAGAGCCTGCGAACCGCCAAGCTCCTTATCCCACTCTACTCCCTCCGTGCCCTGGAGAAGTCGGTCGAGCGCAGTCTGGAGTTTCTCCTCAGGATTGCTTCACTGTCAAATCTTTACATCTTGGGATTCAACCATCTTTGCCAGCGTCTTCTTGATCCGCAGAGCCGTGAGTCTGGAGGCTGGGTTGTGGGCCCAGCATTCTGACATCAGCTTCAGCACTGCTCGAAGACACTGAAAAGCAAACAGAATGCAGGTTGCAGATAAACATCTTTGGCCAAACTCATCATCCCTCCCTCAGGGGACTGGGTTCCACCTACCTCATCACTGTTCCATCTATTAGACACAATTGGCCGCAAACGTTTGACACACACAACCTCACGCATATCTTCATACGATGGGTCACTGGGCACCATGTTGTAATATGGCAGTTGGTACTCCTCTACTATTCCTGCAGAGAGGAAACAGCGGGCACAATGGTGGCCAGACAAAATATACCAATCTACTCAGCGCCTCGTACTAAACTATGGAGCTAAAACTGACTCCTACATAAGGAAGAAAAACAGAGTGGGTCATTCACTTTTAATAGTAAATGTATGTTGTTCTCTTTTTTTATGTCTAACTAGAGAGGCCCGGTGCACGAAAATTCGTGCACTCAGAGGGGGTTCCTCAGCCCAGCCTGCACCCTCTCACACTCCAGGACCCCTCAGGTAGGGTCCCTAGGCCTGGCCTGAGATTAGGGCCTATCAAGGCTTTCCTTCCCTCGGCTGCAGGCAGCTGGCCCCACCCCCATCGCTGCCACTACTTGCCATCTGTGCGGGGTCAGCCCGGCGAGGGGCCGTGGTGGTTTTGGTCTCTGATTGTTTTGGTTGTTATGTTTATGGTGGCTGGCCTTTTATTATATAGGATTATTTCCCCTATGCCTATCAGGACCCCCATCATAGCTACAGACATAACAATATTCAAAAAAAAAAAAAAAGCAAGGGAAACACTCACTTACCCTAAATGTTAACCTAATTATTTGTTTCTCTACATTGTTCCTACTAATAGGTGCAGCAGAAAGACAGCCTGATATGTAGCAAAGAGAAAACCCAGTAGGCCTTAGACAGCCATCCTGGGAAAGGCTGGCCTGCAAGGCTGCCGTGCTAGTGTCTGGGAACTTGCAGGCAGGCAGCTCCCTAAGTGTTGAGAGCGGTGCATGGGGCCTCGACTATTTGTGCAGACAGCAGGGTTGGTGCTGAGCACCTGCTCGCGCTCTGCATATGGAATTTTGGAACACGCTAGGCAGAGGGCGCCTACCTGACCAGCTGCCAATAAAACCACTGAGAACTAAGTCTCTAACTACTTCCCAGGTATCAGCATTTCTCACATCACACGCTGGAGGAATTCAGTGCATCCTGTGTGGCTTCCCTGGGAGAGGCCTTTGGAGGCGGCTGTCCGATTTCCTCTGAATTTTGCCCCTGGCACCTTTTCTCTTTGCTGATTTTGCTCTGTATCCTTTCCCTAGACTATATGTTAGCTGTGAGGACAACTATGTGCGTCCTTCCAGTGATGTTACAGACCATGGGAGTGGTCCAGGGGATCCCTGACATCTCAACTATGTAACAGGAGCGGTTACTTTCTGAATGAGGAGGGTGCAAACCTAATGGGAAACACCCCCACCACTCCTACCCCCTGTGATGCAGCGCCGAGCCATCTCCCAGATGATCAGGCCGAAGCTGTAGATGTCTGCCATGATGTAGGGCTGGAAGTGGTTCTTGTTGAGGCTCTCGTCCAGCACTTCCGGGGCCATGTACCGCCGGGTGCCCACTCTGGTGTTCAAGGGCACGTCCACTTCATTTGTATCGCTGAGACAGGAGGCAGATGATGTCCAGGTTGATGGTTAAGAACAAAATAGTTTTTCTTCCATTTTTGTTGTATGTTGTAAAAGTCAGACTCTCCCCCCCTCTCCAAATAAATAATAAAAATCTATCTATCTATCTATCTTTCTAAAACTCCACATTCTTTTATCAGAAACTATTGAGGCCAAATATATTTTTAAATTTAACATCTTTCAGAGCTTATAAAAGTAATATACCCTGTAAGTATATGATACCAATCCTAGACCTTCCCCAGCAGAGTCTAGAGCAGGACACTTCACAAGCTTACTACCACGTGTGCACTGAAAGCCAAGCATGAAGTTGCTATCAAGCTGGATAAAGACAAGATACCTTGCATGAGTACAGGTAGTTTTGTCACCAAACAAGTGTGGTGTCTCTCAGAAAAAGGACAATACCGAACGTAAGCTAACATGGTGGGTAATTGTGTCTCAGAGCAAGTGGAGGTGAAGGGACACTGAGAAGAGTTATTTGCCTGTCCATTCTCCTGTGACACAGGGTTACAATTCCTTCCTTATAGGTCCAGCCAATGCGGGCGGTGCAGTGGTGCCTACATAGTCACAGTGCTGTAATAAGTGACGCTCACTGGGTTTTCAATTTGTGAGGTAAATTTTAGAGCTGGAAGACATGAATGCTTTTTGTGTAGGTCCCCAGTTCTGGAAAGTACTACGAAGCAGAGATTAACTTCTGGAGTGCCAGGGAGCGCGATCACGCTCCTCCTGTCTTTCCCCTAAAGTGCCAGGAGCACGTGCCTCCTGCAGTGTTCCTATTAGGTGCTAGTAGTTCACTCTTTATTGACAGATGGCACCTAAGTGCAGATTACTTATGAGGCTGAATGTTTGTAGTTCTAAAATTAATCACTGCCATTTATCTGCCTAATTTTCACATTTTTTCCCCTAAACTGCTGTAAAATTAGCAAAAATGCCTTGGCAATTTTAGCATAGTTCCTAGGATATTGGTTGGCACTCAAAGGGTTAATGTAGTCTATATTTTCTTATATAGCATCTGATGAATATTTGAGCCAATTAACACTACACTGACTAAAAACAAACAAGATCAGAATACTGGAACAGCCAGAAAGATGATTTAATTTTTTAATATTTGTTTTATTATGGACTAATATTTTTGTGGTTTAAAAAATTTTTTTAAATATTTTCATTGATTTTAGAGAGGAAGGGGGAGGGAGAGAGATAGTAACATTGATGAGAGAGAATCATTGATTGGCTGCCGCCTTCATGCCCCACACTGGGAATTAAGCCCTCAACCTGGGCATGTGCCCTGACTGGGAATCGAACCGTGACCTCCTGGTCAACCACTGAGCCATGTTGGCTGGGCTGGACTAGTATTTTAATATTATGACCTGAAATTAATTCTGAAATGTGAAATAGCTGTATTCTAGAAGCTATAACATTAAAATCATTTCAATAGTTAATAATATCCTAAAGATGTTATAATTCTAATTATTTAAAACTATTAACGACGTACAGTGAGGCCTTGACTGACGAGTGTCCCGACTAACAAGTTTTTTGAGATACCAGCTGTCTCTTGACCGAATTTTTGCATTGAGTTGACAGAGTAATTTGAGTTAACGAGCTCCTTAAGGTCCCACTGTAGCAAGTTGTGATGAGAAACGCATGTCTACTCCAGGTGGGGGAGTATAAATTGATGCAGGCTCTCTGAAGGGATAATGTGCAATATGCCTCAATTTAATACACACATGCCGTTCGTCTAGCCCTTCTAAGGAACCCATCAAGACGAAGTACTTGTATAAATGTGCAAGGATTAATATATATCGATAAAATACAATGTTCATTAAAGTATTTTTAAATAGAGACAAACCATAGGCAACTTTAATGCCTGTGAGTCGGGTCATGAAATAAGTTATGTTTTGAAAAAATGGCAGCAACACTATGAAAAAGAATGAAGTAGATCTACATAAACTAAAATAGAAGAATGTCTAAGACAATAAAAAACAGGAAATAAAAAATTATGTAGAGTAGAATGTAATTTTTGTAAACAAAACCAACCAGGACAAAACCCCAATCATACAGTTCTGTGAGCACAAACACATCCTTGGCTGTCCTAAATACCAACATGCAAATACTTCTAGAGATTAATAGAATTCCAAAGAGTAGGCAAAGACCACTTACCTATTGAACTTAACTGCAAGGCCCAGGTCAGCAATACAACAACTTCCATTTTTCTTAATGAGAACGTTTTTGCTCTTTAGGTCTCGATGAGCAATTGCGGGCTTCCCTTGGGTGCCGTAAATCTCCGTGTGCAGGTGGCACAGACCACAGGCAGCTGAGTATGCCAGCTTGAGCAGGGCCCTGGTGTCCAGCGTTGTACACTTCAGGAAGTCATAGAGAGACCCGTGCTCATGGTAATCGGTGATCAGATACAGCTGCGTCCAGGAGCCGGTGCCTTTAATGTCTGCGGCTATAAAACCTGGTCGTGGGTGAGTTTCAAGGTTAGTTATCAGAGACGGCATGGAGAGTAATGAAGGCTCCCAGGGTCATGATACATATAACTCTACACTTCTGCAATACATTTACAATAATATTAATGATCATCCTGAAAATGATAATAGTATGACTAAGAAAATCACATATCATATAATAACCTGGGGGAGTTATCATCTACATGACTCTCTGAGCATGAAAAAGAAGACACATGGAAAGGACTCTCAATTTCAAATTGAAAAGTGGACACACTAAAATTAAGTTAAAAATGTTCAACGAGCCAATTCCATGTGCCCATCAATGCCTCCTCACACCTGCCAGCTCTCTTGACGAGCAGGTCCATAATGCTGGCCCCTTTCCTTTCCTCTCTCCCTTCAGAAAAAGGTCGGCAAAAGTGCTGAGTAGTGCCCTGCCCCTAACTCATGTCCACCTGGTGCCTGTAAATGCGACCTTATTGGAAATGTAATCAAATCCAGATGAGGTCATACTAGGTTAGGGTGGTAATTCAATGACTAGTGTCCTTGTGAGAGGGAAATGTGGACACAGACATACAGGAAGCAGGAGTGCCGTCTCTCAGCCGAGAGCATGGACTGCTGGTGTCACCAGACCCAGAAAGAAGCAAGGAAGGGTGGTTGCTTCAGAGCCTTCAGGAAGCATGGCCCTGCCGACACCTGGATTTAAACCTCAGGCCTCCACAGCTAAGAGGGAAGGAGTGCCTGTTGTTTTAAGCCGCCATTTGTGGTGATTTGTTATGATGACCTTAGGAAACTACTGTAAGTGCCTACTATACTCTTGGCAATGTACTATGCACTGTCTATACGAAGGGAAATGATATAGTAGCTGGAAAGAAAGGCCGGGGAAGCTAAAAACTCCTGAATGACTCTGCTGTTGTGTAAATAAATGGGGTTGTGGGGTGGGGAGGTAGAAACCTACTAAGCTACATCATATGGTGGTGGTGGCTTAGCTTACAAAAGGCATATATAGTTACCCTAGAAAATTGCTTAAATTTAGCTATAAAATACTTGGTTTTTGTTAGATATGAGTTAGTCCAATAAGCTGGCATTACTTTGAAATTCTTTGTTGTTTCCTCAGCAGCCTAGTAAATACAGTGGCTAGTTAGCATTTAGAACTCTCAGAGCCCACACCCCACTAACCCTTGTCAGAAAATGGAATTGGCTGAAAGAATGTGTACCCACCGAGGATGTTTTCATGGCGCATCAGCACCGTCTGGTAGATCTCCGTCTCACGAAACCAGCTAGCTTCTTCAGTGGTAAAGAACACTTTGACTGCCACCTTCTCACCACGCCATTTACCCATCCACACTTCTCCATATCGACCTTTACCAACTTGCCGAACCATCTGAATCTGTTTGGCAATAGTTCGCTGAACCTTCATTAAAAAAAATGTTTTGAGTTCTTGATGAAAAGAACCTATTAAGACTGAGAAAGTGGTCTGATAGTTCATCCCATGAAAAAAGATGGTATATAAACAAACTCCAGTATTAAACATTAAAATGTATTTAAAAGAAGATGACACAATAAGCAATATATTCTGATATCACAAACTGTTTACAAAAAAGTTCAAAGTAATTGCCTTCCCTGTGCACATAAGCCTCCGGGTGATCTCCTTCAGACTCTGGGCTGGCCGCCCGACTGGCCCTGAGAAACAGAACTAGAGAAATGGTGTCCTGCGGGCAGCCCTGAATTTCCTGCTGTTCTAGGAGCTCTGGAGCATGAGCAGTGCTGTGCTGACACGGCATGCACACACACCACACCGCCTCACTCTAGCTGAGTGCAGCCAGGAGAAAACTGCCAGCAGACCCACTGGATTGGGAGAAAGAAGACATGTTTGCTGCTTTAAGCCGTTACTCTTTGGGGTGGTTTATTATGCAGTGAAATCTAAATGACAGTTAAAAGTCTTCAGCTCAGTCTCTCAGATGGACATAGTCTGACTCATCATTTCCTGTATTCACATCATCCTCACCCCTTCCATTTCAACTGTTACTTTTATTTATTTTTCCCTTTAACTGCTACCATTCTTTTTTTTCTTACTGAACTTATGGGGGTGACACTGGTTAATAAAATTACACAGGTTTCAGGTGCACAATTCTATAATACGTCATCTGTATATTGTATTTTGTGTTCACCACCCCAAGTAAAGTTTCCTTCCACCACCACTTACCCCCCTTTAACCTTTTCTACCCCGCTTTCTCTCTGGTAATCACCATACTGTTGTCCGTGTCCATGAGTCTCTTTTTTTCTTTACTTAATCCCTTCACCCTTCTCACCCAGCCTCCAACCCCCTTCCCCTCTGAGACTGCCAGTCTGTTCTCTGTATCCCTGAGTCTGTCTCCACTGTCAGTTTATCCATTTCAACTTTTAGAATTACTCAACCTCATTCCCGTCTCAGAGCCTTGTGCACACGCAGCTTCCTTCACTGGTAAGTGCTGCTCTTTTGTTTAACATCTACATAGCACACATACACTTCTCAGTTGCCGCACTCATCACAATTATAGTTTCTTATTGTTTATCTTATAGATCTGTTTGAGTTCCATCCCACCCTGCTCACAGGACATAGGTAGTTTCTGAGAACACACTAAGTGCTTTCATAATATCTCTTTTTAAAAAACTATATATATTTTATTCATTTTTTACAGAGAGGAAGGGAGGATAGAGAGTTAGAAACATCAATGAGGGAGAAACATGGATCAGCTGCCCCTGCACACCCCCTACTGGGGATGTGTCTCCAACCAAGGTACATGCCCTTGACCGGAATCGAACCTGGGACCCTTCAGTCGGCAGGCCAATGCTCTATCTACTGAGCCAAACCGGTTAGGGCTCATTAATATTTCTTGAAAGTAATATGTTAATTGCTACCATTCGTGGTCACCCTAAGTTAAAAAGAACACTAAGGTCCAGTGTAGATTGTACTTAAAATGGGCCAAATTTTGTTAATACCTGAACTAACTCTATGTATCATTTTATTACAGATCCTTTTGTAATTTTTTTCAAGAGTCAAGAT